AATCAATTGGAAGAAATGTCGAATGGTTTCACATTCCACTGTAAACAGGAAACCATATGTTACTAAGTGGTGAATGTTTAATATTAACGTGGTACAAATATGTATTTCAGGATCATTGAAATGTCTTTATAAACAGAAACATACGTATATCTTTATTATAATTATATAATAAATAATTTAACGTCGCTTTGTATAGCACAAAATAATACTAGAATTGAATGTGATAACATTAGCGAGAAAATAAATAATACTGCATTAAATTTTCTCTACTAATTTTCTTATTACAGTTAATAATATCGTCAAATTTTCTTTTATCTTTTTACCATTTTGCATTTGACCTACTTACCTTTGCCAAAAATGCATAAAATCCACGGTCCTTCGTTTTTCTCTATTCCTTGAAGCGGTAATAAAACTGTAAAACTTAAGCAAGTTCAATTAAGAGTTGATAATATTGATGTTTCAGTCTCCGCGAAAGCAATGGAATTCGATGGTACAAAGAAAATTGTATCGCTCAAAGGAACGCGAGGTAATAACATCGTAGGATACTAAATATCAAAGGCGACGTCTACGAGATCCATAATTAGGAAAAGGAAAACAATTTGCGCAATGGTAAAAATAACGAGATATTCGTAGCAAGGCGCTTGCTCGAAGGGCTTTCATAGGACAGCGGAATGTAATTTGACGCACGGTTTGCCGGCGCGATCGGCTACAACGCGTTTTAGGCACGATACTTTCTCTTTGCTTTAACGTATAACTTATGTTGAAACGATACTTCAATGACGCTAATACACAGCAAAGGCTGCCAGACCGTTCCGCTGACGGAGATAACGTTACTTACCTGGAAAGGTTGTTCTAAGAATTTCGTGAGCTATGGTCGGATGCTATCTAACTTTAACGGAATATTTTCGGATCAGTTTCAAGTGCCTGAACCCTTTGTCCACCTGGAAGATGACAGTGAACTGTGTGACATTGAAAACATATCGAATTAGTTAGTTTGAAACCGAACAGCATATATTATTTGTATGCATTTAGAAGGAAACGAGTAAGCGACATTTCAAAAAGTGGAAGAGTTTGAAGAATTTCAGACCGCCAATGTAACATTTTTGATCTATAAAAATAATTCGAGGAACCAAGTATTTTCTATTTCTTGCAATGGGTGCAGATGATTTTTATTTATGATAAAACTGAACAATACAAAGCTACGTTAGAGAAATGTACAGACATTAGAAAAATTCGAGGATATTGTTAGATTCTTCTCAATTCGTTACAATGACTAAAACATGATCTTTATCCGATTTATGTACACTAGAATCGACTTTGATCATTCCTATTTTCCACAAAGATCCACGGTCTACTAATGATTCGTCAGACATTCACAAGTGCTTGGTCGGCTAATAAGCTCTTGATAGTTGGCACGGTAATCTTAATCCTTAGATGGACTTCCAAAGTGGGTCTTAAGAGAACATTGACTAAGATATTAGCTTAGAATGTCAGATGGCTGCGACAGACAGAACGGTGATCTAAAAGCTGCTGTACCCAGTTAGTCAGGAGAAAATTGTATGCAATCTAAGTTAGATAATCATTGACAGAGATAATAATTACAATCTTCTTAGTTGAACAGAAGATTTGATACACTCGTGATAAAGGTGTAAATGGATCAAACTAGCAAAATTATTTGAAGAATTCGGAAGCACTTTTATCAAACTAGCAAAATTATTAGAAGAATTCGAAAGCACTTTGATCGAATTAATATTCTCAATGACACGATTTCTATGTAATAAAATGAATAAAATAAATAAAATGAATGAAGCAAAAATCCACAGCCCTTTTGTGGTACACGTAACTCATCATTAACGATAACGAGACGCCATCTTTCTTTTCAAAGGTCTTGGACATGTCGCAGTTTCATTGGATATTATTGTCAGAATGGTACGCGACTCTTCGGTTTGTAAGTTACACGATTAGGTGGTTGTTACAGCATTCGATTTAGTATACGTGCAGACGGCGAATACGCCGAACGTACGTTCCAGGATGTAATCTATAATCGCTTCCTGTGCTAGAGATTGGGCGGTAGCAAGGGGTCGATTGTACGTATCCGTCACGTGTACACACGGGGGATGTGTTTCAAGGGGCACAATCGATTCATCGATCGATATTTCCTACTCTAACAGTTGTTTTGCGAAAGCATATTATTTAATCCTCCGCGACTGGTCATCCTGAATTCGCAATTTCGATTGTACATTTTCGAAATGACTTAATTATCAGCCGTTATGTTGTCTGAGACATTCGAGTGCAAAGGGTTAACACTGGAATCGCGGATATTTTTGATAAAACCACAACCGAGTTTGTTTATTTATAATATTATTTATTTTCTACGTGTTTTGTAACTCCTTCTGAACATGTCAGATTTTTTATAGATCTTAAAGCATGTGAAAATTCAAATTAAAACGTAAAAAAGTCAAACAATAGCATTGTACATACTCTAGATCTAAATGGACCCAAGAAGCCTCGACATCCGAGTATTAATAGCCGTGTTATCGTTTTCACTTTTGCGGTTAAAAATTGTTCGACGATTGCATTAAAAGATTGTGAAATCACTTCGGGTCCATATTTCTTAAGTAACTGGATTTCAAACGTTACAAGAATATGCACTTTAAGTCAGAAGAAATTCTGAATTATTTCTTGTAATGGGATTCAAATGGATTCTAATGTGACAGTTCCGTTCTTGAAAAGACCGAACTCGTGAAAGAAGCAGGTTCCAGAAACTAATAGAACTACGTTAAGGAGTGTGTATGTGTTGTTGTTAAAGCATTCATAATTGTTGGAATAATGTCAACATTACTGAACTGCAAGAAAAGGAAACATTTAAAACAGCCTTACTGTAAGTTTTGCATCTGCTTCCACAAGTAAACTACGCCCCTCGTAGATTATACTAACTGCAATTAGATGGGAGTTAGTCAAGTGCGCGTGTACTCACAAACGCTGGGACCTAATATTTTTCGCAAACAAAATCTGAAACGAAAAAACTTCGGTTCCTGCACACATGCTATTTTCTCACGTCGAATTATCTCCTATCTTTCTTTTTGCTTCATTTATGCTTATAATTTTCGCTACAGCCTGAATATCCAGCTGCAGATACTAGATGATCGTGGTTAGATAACCGGAGTTGACATTTAATAAGTGGATCTTTATGTAAATTCCCGTTCCCATAGACAATCTCGTAAAAACCGGGATAAGGGGGGATATTTAAACGGTTACAACATTCTTCGAACGAAATGTGAAATGGAAATGTTACTAACGTTTGCTAATGTAAACGTTTTCCTATTTATGTTAGCACTATAGACTAATTCCTATTTACCTAATTCTCAATTTATATTAATTCCTTTTCTTAATTTCTTGAAAATTCTAAAATAGCATTTCAGAATATTACAATTTAATATTCTCGATTTGTGGATTTCCATTTTTCCTGAATTTTCCAAATTTTCCTCTGAACATTCTGATTGGACTAAGACTTTCCTGATCTTCCTGCAAAAGATTCTACACCTCAGTTACAACAAATAGTAGCTAAATAAAAAATTCTCACTTCCGACATTATCATTCTAACACGTTGAAAATATTACAACAGCATCGTTAAATTGATTCCCTGAATTTATTGTTTTATATTTCACCTACTCAGTTTTCTTACAAAAAGGCATAGTCTAATTCATACAGCCTTGCATAATGCGCCATCTATCTTCCGCCCGGTGTCTAATCCGGAAAGCTGCATACGAATAATTTACCTATTCAAATAAGATCAGTGTACATCGGTATTCAGTGTATTTTCCTTGTTTGTAGCATTTAATGTTTCGATATACGATTAAGTTCTCCAAGGAAAACATTTTCAATGGTTTCGAAATCCTTGGCTATCAATAATCAACGAAATATTGTGGTAAGGTTAGAAATAATACAGGTTATCATAGAACGGTGCAATAGTTGCTACAGAAGAAGCACATAGACAATGGAATTGTTGATGATTGTACATTACCGTCGCTGATTTCTTGAAAATTCGTAGTTCAATTAAAAAGTCCGTTTCGCTGACAAATTGCATCTACATCCCGTCGTCTTCTTTGTCACACTCGACACAAACATGCACTTAGAACGTCTAAATCACAGTACTTCACTCGAGCTACTTTGATATGTTAATAACGCGATAATTAATACACTTTCATTGTTTAATCGAGGAGCACTACGTACTTTCTCCAGCGCCGGCACAGCCATTGCTAAATCACCGACCACGTGACGTAAAGCATCGATAGATCGACAACTTCAACTTGATCAGTTTCCCCGCGAACTTTTCGTCACGTGACCGGTGGACCAAAATGGCGGAGTGTCAGTGAAAGGGGTACCTGGTGCTCCTCGATTAGGTGATAAAAGCATAATTTATATCGCGTTAAAAGAAGCGTCGAAATAGTTTCAGTGAACAGGTTAAGTGTTTGGAACAAGTGCAAGTGATTTTGAGAGCGTTCCGGTCGATTTGGTATTTAAAACTCACCTCTTCGTGATACGGGTGGCACCCAGGCCAGCAGTGGTGGTCTCGTAAAGGGACTGAAACGTGAAAAATGGTCGTGACGTTCCCAATTGTTCCCAGGAGAGCGTGCGACTAGCGCCTGAATAACAGTAAGAATGAAAACTAAAAAGACTTAGGTCGAACGAGAAGGGAAGAACGAGCGAACGAACGAACGGAAGAAAGAATGAAAGCGAGAAAAAGCAGAAACCGAAAGGCGAAGAAGAAACGGTAGTAGATTCTTTACCGAAATCCGGTCGAGTGATGAAAGGACGCGATGGAGGGGTAAATGGAAGGGCAAGGGAAGCAGGGGCGAATCAGTGCGAATGGAAGTGGACGTTAGGTCGACCGATCGTCCTTCACGCGTCCGGCAGCCGGTGGATGAGTCGGAGCGGCGAGCGCGGCCGACGACGGCCGAGCATTGCCGAGCCGACGTACCCTCGGCTCACGGCGGAGCGTCGCCCCACCACATCCAGTCGTACTGCGAATGCCACGCCGGGAGTTTCGTATTCGCGGTATTTCGGGACTTTTCGTGCGCCCAGTAAATCGAACCTCGTTGTCACAACAGTGCGTCCGGTGTTCGTCGTGAAACCCATCCGTCGGCCGAAGGGACCTGCCTGGCGCCAATAGACCGAGGTTTGCCGAAGGTCGTGGTTTCTTTGTCGTTTCGGCGGGCACAGTTTTCCGCACGCACAGCTGTCGCCTCGTTTTCCCTGTTCGGTCTCTTCGCACAGCGTGCGCCGTGAAACGAAACGAAACGGATAGGAGACAAGCAGAGAATAGTTCCCCTTAAAAGCAAACAATCGGAAAGGTCGAGCCGGTGTTCCTCGAATCGGCCGATCCCTCGGGAAAGTGTGCAGTTGAAAACGGTTCTTAATAGTGTCCCGAAGCCGGCGTTGATCGCGATGCGACAGCATCCGAGGACAAGAAGACGTTCGTGGAGCAACGCAGACGAGACGGAGGGGTGTTAAAGGAACGTTGGCGATCCCGCGGGATTATACCGACCGGCAGTGATTTTTGGGAGAGGGAACACGGTCATAGTCAGTCTGTGATCGTTTGAAAGGAGCGCGCGGTTCACCGGACACCCGTTCTCGTCTGACAACACTCTTGTTTACCAACGTCAGTGCGGTTAACACTTGCTACCTGAGGGAAATACCTCCGAGGCACAAAGGCAGGAAGGAAGGAAGGAAGGAAGGAAGGAAGAGGAAGGAGTGAGTGTGTTTGTCTGTCTCTCTGTGGGGTAGAACGTCGTAGAGAAAACTCGTGCGGCGAGCGAGCGAGAGGGAAAGAGAGAGAGAGAGAAAAAGAGAGCGGACTAGAGGACATAGAAAAAGGAGAAGAGAACAGATCGAGACGGGTCCGCGGAACGAGAGGTAAGCGATAACGGCGACTGGCCGTGCGAGATGCCTTCCAGATGCAGGACGATGACGCCGCACAGTCTGTAAGACTTGCGTGGTTTCTCCACTACCGTATCACGCTCACCCGTGATTGTCGTGTCAGGACGTATCGACGACCGTCGGCTGGGTTATGACGCGCGCTTAACGCGCTGCGTGCACGAGTAGAAGCGAGCGTGTGTGCCCGTCGTCTACAACATGGAGTCCGACACGGCAACCGAGTGGCCGTCGCCGAAAAAAGGCTCCTGCGAGCCCGAGGCGTCGATGCTCAAGAAATTTCGTAATTGGGCGATGTGCGCCCTCTGTATCACCAGTCTAGCCGTGTCCGGTCTACTCGTATACAGGGAGCTCAGATTGGAGTCAAGGATCGCCAATTTGGAAGCGCGTTTGGAGCACCAGGAAATACCGAGTGTACTTTTCCAGAGGCTCAAGGACGAAGTTCAGTCGCAGCTGGCGTTGTACCGGCTCCAGTCCACGTTTCGGATCAGAAGGGACGTCACCGAATGCAATTGTCCGCCAGGTTAGTGGTCGATCATCTTCTGGATACTATTACCGCTTGCTTGCTTGCTTGCTTGCGGTTTTTAGGAGGGCTACGCGGGTGGCACTGTGTGTGCTCGCTGTAATTGAGACCGTTCCTCCCGATCGGAAATTCTCTCGAATAGTTCTTCTTTGGATTTCGAGGGTATTGGAGGAGTGCGCGACCGGCTGTTCACGGGATATTGGACTTCGCCGGGTTCTGGAGACGGGAGCCGGATGGCCGGGGGTTGTGTCTGTTAATCTTGGAAAGATTATGATGATCAGATGTTGGATCGCGTCGGTAGTCGGATATCAATGCGAACGACTGGAATCGGTCGTCGATTCTTTCGAGAGTTTCGCTTGTTTTTTTTTTCAAGGGGTGTAATGTAAGGCGGCCGGACTTAGGGTTGCTTCAGGAACTTTGTGATCACTGTAATGTTCAAACGTGGCGTTGTAACGCGTGGTTAGGGCTGGTATAATATCGCTCTTAGGGACTACAGTCGGTCATTGTCGATTCACGCGACTTTCACTTATTTTTGGAACGGTGTAACGCGAGCTGGCTAAACCGCGATTGTTCGAGTAATTTTGCGAAGATTATAGGGTTAAAATATGGAACTATGTCGATTATTTTTGACGATTTGAACATTACTGTTGGATACTAAGTACAAACAGTAATTATTGTTGTGTAGTAGAAGGTATGCGGTCGAGGGTTGTTTAGTAATCGTAGGTGGATGATAATGTTTAACGTTGGAATTGCATCGCATATTTTTAACCATTCGAAAATTACTCTTGTTAAGTATTACGACCAGATTTTATTGATTTATTGGAATTTGATTGTCTTTTGGAAGCCTGTATTCCAAAGTGACCGGTCGTCAAGGGTTGTATTGGTAATTATGTATTGATTGTAACGTTGAATCTTAGAGTTACATTGAATTTTTTTTTTATCATGAACTATCATCTGGTAACTTGTGACTTTTCTAGAGCTTGAGCACAATTTTTAAGTATTATCTTTAAGAATCGCCATAAATATTATATAGAAAATAGTTTGATATTTTGAACTTGTCATCTTTATCGACAACTACTGTAAATTGGAGATTTTTGCTCTATTGTCTGCACTATTTCTATCATAGATAGAAGATGCCTGGCCAGGGATGATTTTTAGAATTTTTTATCGATTCTAACGATCTTAGTTGGAATTATTTTTAATACTTAGAATATTATATTTTCCTTATCAACAGTTTTCTAATTTAATGATTCCAATAATGTTCGTGTAATTCAGTTTAGAACACCAACGTTTAAATAATTCAAACTTCTAATTATCTGAAATGCTTTTCATTCGAACTTTGTCCTCGCTGAGAATTATCAAATGATCAATTTTATTTCCAAGAGTAATTTAGTGGTTGGCTGTGGGTGGTCTGCAGCAGTGCTGCGAAAGTTTTAATGTGCGATCTATTCAATTAGTCCAATTCAAACTTCGAATTCTATCGAATAGTTTCAACTATCCAAATAGTATTTTTGTCATTAATGGTGCTCTCAGCCGGTAACTTTTATTTTACCTAAATTTCCCAGCCAACTATTGTCGTCGCTGATTATTTCAACAATGCGATTTCTCATTAATATCTAGGAAATATCAATATTTGACGATTCACGTGAGCATAATTGTCAAAATTATCAGGGGTGGAAATTCATTTTTCGTTTTCTCGCGCAAGAATCTTCGGTCTATCAATTACCAAATATCAAAGGCTCAACAATTCCTGATTTCGGAGCAAATTAATATCTAAAGGATTTATAATACACCTACACATGATTATTCAAATTATTAACGAGATAATTTAAATTCTATACAGTCCCCAGATCTAACATCGACTTTTTGCCCGGCCTTTGCACAATGGCGCAGTGAAACCGAAACTAATATAAAATAATACTAAAACCACCACTTTTAGGGTCGCACGGTTAATAGTTCTCGAGACACTGTCAAAGTTTCCTTTTGCAACTGATTACCATAAAGTTACCTCACAATTAAAACGAATAAAATTAGCGAACGAATGAACTGTCATCGTAAATATCGCGACTAATTTTATATCGTTAATTTCATTTAATTACAAAAACTGCACGACTTCGCCTCTCGGCTTAAACAAAACATTCCTCCTGAAATAATATCACGAACAGGAAAAAGGGTAAATTTTAATTGAGGCAATTCCGCTCGCCGATCTATGAATCACCGAATACCATAGATTCGATACAGCGAAGGGTTGCACGTTGCGGCACTCGAGCCCCACTATCGTATCTAGCCGGTACTTGTCGAATGCTCGAAAGCAGCGCGTGTAAATCGAATCGGTTCGCAAAACAGGGTCATCGAAACATCGTTTCTTGGTTGGCAGCATTCGAAACCGGCGAAACGAAGCTTCCTGGGCCCATTGAAATTGACTCGGGCTTCGCGAGTACACGTTGAACTTGATCCCCCGTCCCTGCCTCCTCGCCCCCGGTCCCACTACGTCTCTTCCGTCGCATGCATGCATGCACCGGGGCAACTGCATCCAGCGAGGAGGCCATAAAGCGTGCTGCAGGGTGAAGAAGAAAGGCGGATCTTTGTCTCGGGGTGGAGAAGCTTCGGCTCCAGGACAAAGGACCGGCGATCTCGAGAATTTCGATCTTAGGGAATGCTCGAGAGAGCGAGCGAGTTCTTCTTTTTTCGAGATCGCCTTTTGCGCCCCGTATAAGGAGAGGACGTTCTGGATGAACCCGCGGCACCCGACAATTCAAACTTGCCGGATGGATGTGCCGCGAGGAAGAGGAAGAACCGCGTGTCGTTCCACGTTCGCTCTCCCTGTGTCTCCCTGTCTCGCTCCCTCTTCCTCTCTCACTCTCTCTTCCTCTCTCTCTCTCTCTCTCTCTCTCTCTCTCTCTTTGTCCCTCTCTCTTTCTCTGATCTCTCACCCTACGCACCGAACACACAATCGTCCCGTTTTAAACGCTGTCATCCGTTCGACGTTTTTACTGCCGCTGATAAACTGTGGGTGTTTATGGAAATTTATGCTTTCAACCCTCGCCGAGCCATGCGGGTCCGATTCGAACAGTACGGGAGGCGATCTAGCGCGATTCTTTGTCGTCTAGCTGCGCCGGATTCGGATGCTCCGGCACGCTTTTCTCACTTCCGATAGATCGTCGATGCTCGAGCCGTTGTAATTCCGTCGAAACCGGCTCGACGGCAATCGATTTCCGCTAAATATTGACGGTAATAGTTGCCGGGAGATCGTCGGATAAATAATTTCCATGGTGCAGTAAATTCTCTCGAATTGTGGAGGAGGGGGATGCGATTATTCGCAGCTCGTTATTTTTTTTATCGTTGTCGACAATCGGCGACTACAAAAACGAGCCGCGAGGCTCCTGTTTCCGAATTGTCCATTTTCGTTTACAAGCCGAGCGACAGAAAGCTTGTCGAAATAGTGAAATAACGCGATGAAATAATAGTAATGATCGTATAGACTAATAATAATAAGTAACAGTATATAATAAATAGCTATACTATAAATATGTCTATACTATAATATACTAAACCTATGATATAATAAATAATAGTGTATAGACACTGACTTCCGTTGAAATAATTAATCCCGGACGAATGTATAGAACGCGAGGCTGCTACTAACTAATCGATTAAAACCACATATTTAGAGGTGGTTTCAATCGCGGAGATATTGAACATCGTATTCAATCACGTCTTCTCCCGTCTGTCAATCAAACTTTTTAAATTTGTTTTCGAAAAGTTCGCCGGATTCGAAATTAAAAAACTTCCGCCCCGGTTAGAGCTTTTAATCCCTCGATATCAAACGTTGTTAGTCGTCCCGATTCAGGTTTATCGGACGGATGGAAAATACAAAGCTCGATTTCCAAAACCAGTTTTGTCAGTATTTTTTTTGTCCGCGCACAATGTGCTGTATCACCTTTCTTTTCGCGCACGTCGCAAATATATTTTCGACAATGTGTCTTCGTTCCTCGATATTCGCATTCACGGAAATTTTATAACGACGCGAGGATAATCGTCGCGAGACGAAAAGATTCGTGTAAAAATATTTCCTGTAAACGGAGTGCGAACGTTTGTATGTATGACATAATTAATGTAATNTTGTCCCTCTCTCTTTCTCTGATCTCTCACCCTACGCACCGAACACACAATCGTCCCGTTTTAAACGCTGTCATCCGTTCGACGTTTTTACTGCCGCTGATAAACTGTGGGTGTTTATGGAAATTTATGCTTTCAACCCTCGCCGAGCCATGCGGGTCCGATTCGAACAGTACGGGAGGCGATCTAGCGCGATTCTTTGTCGTCTAGCTGCGCCGGATTCGGATGCTCCGGCACGCTTTTCTCACTTCCGATAGATCGTCGATGCTCGAGCCGTTGTAATTCCGTCGAAACCGGCTCGACGGCAATCGATTTCCGCTAAATATTGACGGTAATAGTTGCCGGGAGATCGTCGGATAAATAATTTCCATGGTGCAGTAAATTCTCTCGAATTGTGGAGGAGGGGGATGCGATTATTCGCAGCTCGTTATTTTTTTTATCGTTGTCGACAATCGGCGACTACAAAAACGAGCCGCGAGGCTCCTGTTTCCGAATTGTCCATTTTCGTTTACAAGCCGAGCGACAGAAAGCTTGTCGAAATAGTGAAATAACGCGATGAAATAATAGTAATGATCGTATAGACTAATAATAATAAGTAACAGTATATAATAAATAGCTATACTATAAATATGTCTATACTATAATATACTAAACCTATGATATAATAAATAATAGTGTATAGACACTGACTTCCGTTGAAATAATTAATCCCGGACGAATGTATAGAACGCGAGGCTGCTACTAACTAATCGATTAAAACCACATATTTAGAGGTGGTTTCAATCGCGGAGATATTGAACATCGTATTCAATCACGTCTTCTCCCGTCTGTCAATCAAACTTTTTAAATTTGTTTTCGAAAAGTTCGCCGGATTCGAAATT